CCAAGTGGCAGGTACAGCTGTGTAAATAAATTTATACAAAAATATGCTACAAAAGTTCCAAACTAACTCAGTCTTCTTCCATTGGCTGGGCTTTATCTTCACCCTCCAGAGAACTTGAACAACTAACACTGGCAATATCCTTTTCTGTAGTATCTTGGTTTTTTTCAGTCGAGCTGTCTGTTGCCATTTTTTCTGTACCTTGAGAAACTGTAGAGTCTGAGTGAGATGCAGTGGATGTTGAGGCAGCAGGACTGGTTATAGAGGTAGGTTCTGGGGTGTCCTCTTCTTCACCAGATGATACACCATCTGAAGGTGAAGGTGGAAGTGGTGCTGCTGTTGGTGAAGGTGTAGCATTGGTACTCCCAGGGGGTGATGCTGCCTGACTGAGGTCTGAATCAGTGGTTCTTGTAAGAGCAGATTCTGGTTCAGTGGCAGGAGAAGGAATGCCAGGACTGGATTCAGAGGTTTCTGAGCAAGATGTTGCTGAAACAGCAACAGAACAATCTGAGGGTTGGCTGGAGAATGCAGATGTCTGTGGATGAGATGTGCTGTCAGCCTCATGACTATCTTCACTCTGCTGCTCCTGCATGGATCGTCCTTCTGACACAACTACTTCTGGTTCATTTCTGTCACTGTTGTCTGCTACTGCTGTTGCCTCAGAGCTGCCTTCTTTTTCAACCTGTGAACAAAAGTGAACAGCACATTAGCACAAAGACCAAATAATTTGTTCAACCTTCAAACTTCAACTAATTTTATCATTCAATTTCTATGGTCAAATATGCAACTTGCCTGACATAAACATTTCATTCTGAACTTTTTATAGATACACAGCAAAATCAATCTAATTACCAAAAATAATCTAGTCAATGCAAATTTATGAAATGCAGAATTTCTACTAAAACTCAAGTTATTCCAAAAACTCCTTTACCACTTAAAACAAGTCAAGATTGGGAACACAATCACAGTAGTTGTCTATTTTTAAAAATCAGTTAACATTTTGAGGTAAATAAATAAGAACTCTGTATACCTGGTTCCCTGATATAGGTACTCTAATATATAGTACATAGAAGATAGATTACCTACTTCAGGAAATATATGTCAATAAAGCATCCTTATCACTTCTTGGCCAATTATCTATCCAAAGAGTTGCATTCTTCCCCACCAAATACTATAACCTTTGAAATGATTAACCCCTGCAAACCACTAATCCTTCATCTTGTCTACTCCCTTACAACAAGTAATGCCTAATTCTTCAAGTTTCACCTGGGCAAATTTTGTTTCTGAAATCTTAAGAGCTTGATTTTACATACCAGATGAATATCAAAGTTTCTCAAAACTTGTAAATACTTTTTGAATAAAAATCTTGAAAAAGTCATAGCATGTTATTTGGTGTATTTCGGTATCGTCCTTAATGCCATACAGTTATTCTCTTTTGTTAAGGAGGAAGAGGAGGAGGAGGAGGAGGAGGAGGAGGAAGAATTCATTTACACAGTTCATCACTTGGGATATTCTGAATTTGTCCATGTCAAATTCTATACCTTTTTATGGTGTGTAAAGCTGTAAAAACGTATGCCTCATCAGAACAAAATATATTTTTACATGTTTAACACATCCATATGATGTGACCTAAAAAAAAAATTGGCTTGTGGAGTGGGTGACGTGAACATGCTTTCATGGGAACAACTGGCTGGGGCCGGGGTGACGGGAGCTTGCTGTCATGAGAATATTGGCTGAAGGCCAGAGAGACTGGAATGACTCGCATGAGTGCACAAAGCTCTTAGAGGGTGGTTAGACTCAATGGCCATTTAGAAAGGGGCCATTGCATTACTTCAATCAATAAATGAGCATAGAATGTACCATCCATGAGCGATGAGTGGAAGAGCACCAGCTCCAGGGAGGATGCTATTTAATGCTCTGTATCCTATACCTGACTGCCTTGACCAGAAGCACAGTTTGTTACCGAAAATCTAATATGAAAAAAATTTAGATTGCAACAAATAGCAAAATGTTACCTATCATTATTATTATTATCATTAATGAGTTATGGTCTACCAATGGTCTGAGCAAGGAAAAGTCTTACATATGGATAAAGCAAACAGAATGACAATTATACAGTGAAGAATGGTAAAAAAAAAAAACTATAAACACCTACAAGCTGCACACCTGTAAGAGTGGCTGCTCAAGTAAACTTAATGACTGTATTCCAGGCCATGAACAGGCATTGGAGCATCAAAATCCAGGGGGTTAATGGTGAACAAGACAAAACCAGAACTATACATATGATCAGTGTGTGAAAGGGAAAGAGGAAAACAGAAAGAATGGAAGCACTGGCTGCAAGACATATGCCATACAATGCTAGTGTCACTTTCACATTTACAGTAAAAGCTAAAATAACATAACAGGAGGATCTATACAGAGAAGGGGGTATGAGTAGGATATGGTGGGTGTGGATGGAGGAAACTTACCAAACAGGACCAGATTCATTAGTGAACACTAAATACATTCCAGATGAATAGTTTTTTTGTGCATGACAGAATGGACATGACTTCAGTAGTTTAATCAATTATCAAGGTATTTCCAGTTGTGATAACTTTGAATGTCAAGATGAAAACATGTGTTATTTCAAGCAGTCAGAGCAATCACTGTTCAATAACATTTGTTCACAAATTAGAGACTGTAATCAATTGTTACAACTGGCCTTGTGATCTCAGAATTACAAGTGAAGTCACCAACTCCAGCCATGGGCTGATCAGTGGTGTAAATAAAGGCATTCTTGAATATATATACCCATGATTTTAATGTGAAAAGGCACTAGTATGATGATTAACATGTTCCGAATCAAAATTAATTCAATCTGTACAATGTAGTAGAAATACAAGTATTCATAGACTTCACAAGGAATGAAAAAGTAAGTTATTTGCTTATCGTCCATACAAATGTCACATATACTATATGCTAGACAGTGTATGTAATGGCATTGCAATCAGTCTTACCATTTAGAACAATTTTATCTGCCAGTGAAGAAAATAACATCTAGTAAGCAGGTATAGATGTATCAACAATGATGACTTATATTTTTTTCCCTCTAAACAATAATGCCATTAATGCAAAAACAAACTGAATCCTAAATAAACCAAAGAAATTACTCAGATCTATACTAAAATAAATTTAGCAGAAGACTTATGATCTTTACTCCTATTACCTCCATGACAGCAATTAGGAATATCCTCAGGTAAGGAAACTCCTTCATCCACTGCCCTCTGTTTAAAAATAATGGCTCTTTCTTACTTTGTGGTTGTCCTCAGGCTGGTGCTGTTGGAGAATTTGCTCTGAGTTGTCTTCCACAGAATCTGGGCTGCCTTGGGTTGCCCTTGTTGGCGATGATTCTGGTGTTGAATTTAGGCTTTGTTCCTTAGCATCCTCAGTGTTGTCTACACAGGAACTGTCTGATGAACATACCTCAGGGGGTAATGACAACACCATTTCCTCTTTTTCCTTTTTAGCTTGAATTTCCTCATTACCATCGGCCAATTCACTAGCAACACCTTCACTTGTGCAAACTTGCTGACCTGAAGTACTCTCTTCTACAGACATTTTACTCTCTTCTTCCTCCTCAGTCTTCATGGATAAACAAGTAGCTTCAGCTTCAGCTGTTTCCATAGCTTCCTCTTCAGTTCTGGCACTACTACAACTACTGCTGCTACTGCTGCTGCTGCTACTACTGCTGCTGGTATTACTCCCATCATCGCTTGCCTCTGCTTCCATGTTGTCTGTCTCATGGGGTGCTGCCAAGGCATCACCTTTCTCTTGTGGTTGTGAAAGATCATCAGCAGAACCTGATGCTTTGACCAATGAGCTTTCTTCTGTTCTTGCTTTTTTAGCAGGAGGCTCTGAATTTTCCACCACTGGGGAGAGATTCATCTCTTCAGTCTGAGCAATACTTGGGCCATTGGCTTCTGAACCTGTCACTTGGCTTTCACACATGTTCATATCAGGGTCATATGCATCTGAAAGTATGAGAAAAACATAACTTAAAGAATTTTCACTATTCTTTTCACTTTATGAAAAATATTATACATTCCAAACAAGTTATTGCCTGATAAAGTTGGGCTATCCTGACATTCATCAGTAGTGGAAAAACAGGGCATAACATTTATTTTGAGTCGGCAGTTATGAACCTTTTAGCAAGATATGAATAGTTTAAACATGAGAAATACATTAACATCATATATCCATCTTTCTCATAATCATGAAAGTGAAGTAAACATTAGTTTCTTAAAATCCTAATTGTACAAATTTATGGAGCCGTGAGGAAATACAATATTAAATTACCATTCATATTATTTGAGATGGAATGTGGGTGATGAGGAGAGGGCACCCTCTTGTGGTGATGGGGGTGTGTAGACGTTGGAGAAGAAACACCTGAAACTGTGGAAGCATGGAGGCCGCCCTCTTGAAGACCATTCACTAGGGTCTGCCCATCATCTCCACCTCGACGCCTGCAAGGATTTGCTATTAAAATTCATTCTCCTAACTGCAGTTAACAAAAATAAACATGCAAATAAGACACTAAGGTAGGCTCAAATGTATAATTTATTACTAGATGTCAATACAAAAGCTAGAAGTAAATAAAAGAAAAAGGAATGAAATAACACTGATAATGCAATATCTACCCAATATCTTTTTGATATACCCCATCTTTGTATCCACTCTTTATATCCTTAGTTCCCTCTCTCATTACATGTCTTTTTGGCCCCTCTCCCCTTCCCTCCCCCATACTACTTCATCCATTGACACATCTCAGTACATCACAGCAAAACCTGTCCTCTGGGATCTGACATGTAAAAGAACAATATTGGGACAGGAGCAGAGTGTAATTTGGATTACAGAGGATTCTATCATGCATACAAGACATTCAAATCATCAATTAGCTTCTAGATTTGGGGTGGGGATCCTTGGATCAATTGAAAAAGTAAACAAATTCCCTCTTCCTATAAAAG